CCGCGTCGTGTTTGATATGGGACTCACAGAGACCACAGTCCCTCTATGTCTATAGAGGGACTACGTAGCGACGTTTACAGCGCCTGTAAAATATGTTGTTTGTTTACATGATATTCGAGCACGCGCTGCGCGACGACCACCGCCCTTTAATTTCACAATCTTGGTGTCTGTACCGAGATTGAGGCTGCGTCACAAGATGTAATATGCAAGTGGGGATTGCACAGCCACTGTACGGGAAGACTTCTAGTCACGTGATTAGTTGTGCTTATTCAAGTTGTTATTCTTACCAGAAGATTGTATAACTAAAAACGGACGCACCATAACTTTATTGTAATGAAAATTAGCCATCAAGATCAAAGTACTATCACTCACGATAAATATTTTTTATTGAGCTGCAAACAATAGTCTGTATCCTGTAAAATCACCGTCCCTTGTTGTCAGAAAACATTTACTAGACTTGCGTTCCATTTATAACTAATGTTTGTCTCGAGGCTTGGGTCAGTTTGAGGACAAGGTCGCCGGTTTATGAAGTTACACGCCCCTAATTTACTAGTAGTTTAGGCGTGAGCACCGCAGCCATGAACCGATGACTGCAGATTAAAAAAATACACCACAACCAGAGCCAAACAAAATATGACAATGCTTCTATTTTTTTATTGAAAATGTGACTTTTTTATCAAAAAGATACAATGTGGATTTTTTGTTTGCGATTGTATCTTGATATTACCATGTGGTATAATTTTATTTTGAAAAATAATGTTTTGACTAAAACTTCAAATATTGCAATTATATTCTTTCGATGAAATACAATAACTGGAAACTCGGGTTTATTAATTTATGAAAAAATTATTGATATTATTTTATGACCGTAACTGATATCACGCTTAAGTTGCTGACACCACGGAAACACCGGCAACCAACATAAATAAAAAGAAAACGAACTACTTTTTTTCTAATTACTGGACCAAGTAAGATGTTTATTCATTAACACCAACAAATGAAACTACCCTGACTTCCTGGACACATCCTCCACTGATTCTAATTGAGCCCGCCACATTAGGTCAGTTTTGCTTGCTAGGGAGTAAAACACGGAAGTGGAAGAGCTGTCCATGCATTGACCAATCACACAAGAACTCACAAACACCAACGAAATATTTGTTGTTGTACTTAACATTGGGGTTCGGCACTAAAAACAATGGAACGTTTATAGGCTTAACGTTGGATTTAGATCGTGTTATAATCCAAATCCCCTAGAAAGAGTTGTAAGCACAAATTTCCATATGTAAAAACTATATAGTTCGTTTTTTTTTTTATTTATGGATAGTTTTTTGGCATCACACCAAAGCAGGACATTTTTTGAAATATATTTACATTGTCCCTGGCACTTTCGTTATCATTATCTTGATTCTTTATAGGAACAATTCTCTGATATTCCATGGTGACCCTTTGATTTGATTTGATTTGATTTGATTGTAGCAATATTTGTGTCACTATGTTTAAAGGGCGCTCACTCACATCCTGGACAACAAGTACACGAAGCGAGGACATGACGTAAATTACTAATGTGGCGAGAAGAGATGTAGAAACTAATTTTTATGATTCAATTGTCGAAAAAATGTATTCAATGTAATTTATGCAAACTTGGGATATTGCAATATGCTTGAGTCAATATTTCAGTTCATCCATCACCGGGAGTGAATGTGAATGTGCTGCTAGCGGTCGTCAATCTGTGTATATCTAATTTCGTAGAAGAGCATCTAAATGTACCAATAACAATCTTAGTGTTTGTAGCCAACTACTGTGGAATACTTTATTTTCGCTGGAATTAATTTCGCTGAAAAGGTTTTTTGGGCGTTTTGTATGGAATTTATTTTCACTGATTTTTGATGAGTTTAATGTGAAATATAGGAAAAAAAGTATATTAGCTGGATTTTATTTTCACGGAATCATCCTTTCAGCGAAAATAGCGAAAATAAATTCCAAGCGAAAATAAAGTATTTTACAGTATTTAATTATTTCTCAAACATTCGCTCATTGTTTACAAACAAGCGTCTACCCATGAGCCTTTGCGTTTTTAGCGTGTGTTGTTATCGTCGCTTGGGGCTCAATTCCCGCGCGTGCGCAGATGACGACCCTCCCGCTTTATACTTAATACGCAATTTAGCATGTAAATCATTCATACACATAAATACTAAGCATTTTCTACCCGTTTAGCAGTAGAATTAGCAAACTCGAAAACATACAATAGAATTCATTTCATTATGATGACAATCAGAACCTGTTTCGATAGTGTACTCTCACAGGGTCCATACCAAATGATGTCGTATCGTAATGTAGAAAAACCATGTTATTCAGGTAATATCTGTGTGCTGAATACTAACCTCGAATACACTAATAAGATCACAAGAACATGAAATATCGCCCCCATGGGAGATATGCGTTAAATATATTACTACCGTTGATGGCGCACTACATGATCTGAAGATGGCTGCGACAAGCGATGGTCGAACTGTTGTTGTTCTGTGTATGATTGGTAATATTCCCGGCAACTTCCATTCTGCTGACTTGAGAAACTATTTTTCACAATTCATAGAATCTGGAGGCTTCAACTGTTTTCATTTTAGACACCGCCCAGAAGTTAAATCGCGAAGTCACAGGGATAACTCTTCCGACGGTAATGTCCAAAACGAGATAGACGTAACATCGACGTCTTCATTGAAAAGAGATCCAAAAAACAGTGATAATACGTTGTGTTGTGTTGTCAAGCTTTCCAGTCATAATGCCGATAAATTAATTAAAATGTATAACGGAAAACGGTGGATTGGGAAAGACGGTTCTTTGATGGCTTCACGGTGCAGGATTACAAGAGTTAAAGTAAACAAACAAGGTAGGAACAACAAGGTACTACATTTTGAAATAAAGAGGTTTGCCATTAGATAATCTGTGGAGGAGGGAGTTAAAGAAAAGGTAGACAGTATGGGTATTCGCACCGCAATGGTGCGTATAAAAAAACAGATCCACTTTTCCTACTGCAGCAGTGTGAATAGCAGAAATGCACCTGTTATTTGTGAAGCAGTCATTTACCGGTATATAACAAAAATAGATCCACAATTCACATCGCAGTGCTGGTGAAAATAACTAAAATGATTTACTATTTGCACTGCAATTCGCAAAGACAGACCTAAACAGGTCAGTAGAAGACAAAAGATGTTTTCGTTAGCGTGGGGGAAAGTTGGTTAGCATGGGAAAACAGAGGTGTTAATCCGAAAATTCATTGTCTATTCTTGTTTGTGATTGGTCCTGGTAATGTTTGGAGAATCGTAACTTAGCTCTGTCTTTGAGAATGGTGCAGTGTTCACATGTACCGAAAATACACTTTAAAATGAATGAAAGGAGTAAGCAAAGGCTATCTTTAGCGAACAATACCAGGAAAAGAAATGATGTAATGCTATGCTAAACCCTTTTCTATGTATAGTAAAAAAAAGAGTGTGTCTGACCATTTAGTTATTCAAACCATGCTCTATTCAATCGTCAACTTGTATGAACACTGTAAGGAGTACGCTACCATGTCAATGAACACTGTAAGGAGTACGCTACCATGTCAATGAACACAATGAACTAGTGTGGTAATGCACTACAGGCCTGGGGGTTTAAAACACCAGAGCTGATTGGTTGCTTCTAAGTCGTACAAGTCACTTGAATAGTTGCATAGTCACAGTGTGTATAACAAAACTAGATTTTTTATACGGTACATGAAATAATACTAGATCAATACTAATTGCAGGATGAAAACTTCCTACCATCTCCCATCCCAGAGTTTCCAATGGTTAACTTGTGCTTACAACATAACCATATTGAACTGCAGCCAGGAACAATATATCTGCATCTTGCTCCACAAAACAACAATGTCACTGTGTGTAACAAATAATAACTTATTGTGATGGGATGATCACAGAGTGTAGTGGACTCATGATTCAAGTTCAAATCCTATCTGGTGTTGAACCTTAGTTAAACTCCAACAAGGAGGTGACTCTTTACTCTGGGTGAGTGTGCCACAGACTCAGTGAGAGGGGGGGGGGGGGTTAAAACCACTAGCCAAGATTCCCAAACATGCGACCTTGGGGGACCCCAAATTGGATTCATGTAGTGTATGTGTTTGACTTTGCCTGTTAGGTGTTATGCTAGCATATTAATTTAAATTACCATAATGTCATTATGATAGGAAGATGGTCACACAGAACTGGTACTGTCAATCTTCCACTTCCACTACTGTAAAGAGGTTAATTATTCACTGGGTTAACTTATTTCCCTGACTGGAAAATGCGCTAAATTAAAACCCAGTGAATATGTGAAATTTGTCATAGAACACATTACAATGTATCTAAATGATAAAACCATGAATTTAAAACCCACTGAATATGCCTAGAATGGTAAATCAGCAAAATTTAAACCCAGTGAATATTAGTCATTTTACAGTACTTCTGCATAAATTTAGTCTTTTCTACATAGTACAAGAAAATTATCTGATTTTATGTTTTATTCACAGATTCTTCCACTTCACAATATAAAACACGAAAAGAAGAGAAAACAATTCCATCTGAGAGGGAGACATTTACTGAAAATGACCTCTCTAATCTGATTGAGTTAAAGCCACCAGCTATAATGCCGAATGGAAATGTGGGTACACCTACTAAGTACTTCCTGGATCTCATCCGTGCTTGCAGGATGCCACCATCTATGATAAAAAAACTTGGTTTATCATTTCCTAAGACACGATCCAACAGACGATACGGGAATGTACCATTCAATTATCCAAATAGTAAGAGATTTTCAAACAATGAGCAAGAAGAAACTGTGCTAACCGGTTCCGGAGAAGAAATTATATTCCTGGAAACACAGAATACTGGGGATATAGGCGTTAGCAGAACAATTAAAGAGGAGGGTTTAGTGTCTGACAAAAGAAATTTAAATAAAGTAAATTCAGAAATAGATGATTTGGCTGATGATCAAGAACAGGAATTGTCTGAATCTGACCAGGTAATGTACCAGTACATATTGTTTAAAATTATAATTTTTTCAGTATTTCAGTTAAATTTTTCAATGTAGGTATGTTAACGAAATTGTGTCTTACCATATGTTGAGATTGAAGAGGTGTATAGCACGATTCACTTGTTTACATTTTACATGTGCACTGTGACTGGTTGTTGGTATTTAATTAAATGATGGTGGTCATCGCGCCATGCATGTGCAACATTTGTGTTTGATGGACATTGAATTTCCCCCAAATCCACTGCACACTTCTAACATACATCACAAGTGTGAGTTTTGGCCTGGGTGCGACGTGCACTACTCCATTACCACTTCATTTCAATCAATTACCTAGTTAAAGCTTGGTATGCATAGCATGGCAACCACTGCTCTTTAATAAATATACATGTATATGTGCATCCATTAATAAAACAACTTTAGTACAATGACACATTATATAAATTGTGAGCTATTGCAGGGTTTCCCTGAGATTTTTATTACAAGGCTCAATCACAATACTGTAAAAGGATCACTGGGTTTTAATTTTGCTTATTTCGCTGACTGGAAAATGCGCTTAATTAAAACCCAGTGAAAATGTAAAATTTAGTATAGAACACATTATCTAAATGATAAAACCATGAATTTAAAATCCACTGAATATGCCTGAATGGTAAATCAGCGAAATTTAAACCCAGTGAAAATTAGTAATTTTACAGTAGCAAGTGTCTGAATTGTAATCATTCAAACACAGTATTTAGAAAAGTAGACAGACAGCTAGTTAGTCCTTGTTGACATGATTAGCTAATTAGCCTGCAGTTAGGAAACCCCTACTAATGGTGATCCATGTATGGCTTTTTTTAGTCTGATGTATTCATGTATGTATTCGTTCTTATTACGCAGCGACCATTGCTAACTATCTACATTGATTGAATGTATCAACGGCGAATGTACAACAGCATGTGGTTGATATCAGATAATGTGAGATTATCGGTATATATCAGAGAAAGATACAAGGCTCCGCTTTACGTTTAAACTGTGTTTCCTTTAAGGATGATGATACATGTGAGGACTGGGAGAGACACGAAGCCTTGCATAATGACGTCACAGAGCAGGACCGAACAAAGGAAAGACTTTATGAAGACGAGATTGAACTGAAATGGGAGAAAGGAGGACCTGGACTCGTATTTTATACCGACGCGTATTACTGGAAACAACAAGAAGGCGGTATGATAAATGTGTTGTTTTCATACATACGTACATTCTGAGTGGTCCATTGATGAGATGTGTATTGAAATTGTCCAATAACAATGTGTGTTTTATGTGTTCTTTGTTCCAGATTTTGATGAGCAGACTGCTGATGACTGGGATGTTGATATGAGTGTTTACTATGACTTGGGTATGTACCATGATAAATAATGTTGTATGCGACAACCACACGTACCAGTAACAAAAACTTCCTGGACTGTGAATAGTCAAGACGTTTTGGCACATGTTCAAGTCCAATCTTGAAAAAGAATAAGGATCTTCAGATTCAAGGTCATTTCGAATGCATTCCCATGCAATTTTTTTTTTTTTTCAAAAGTGCTTCATAATGGAGTACAAAACCCCTAAACTCATCATTTGGTCCCCAGTATGACATACTTTTTTGGAGAAAAACTACAAAAATGGCAATTTTTGAGCAATTTTGCTAGAAATTCATGTTAAGTATTATTTCATCAACTATTTTTATAATTTTGTGAAAATGTTTTCAGATGGTGGTGACAAAGATGCCAGAGATTATGTGCAGATGAGATTAGAACAAAGACGAAGAGATGGAATACCAGATGATGCCGATAAAATTGGAAAATTTGAAAAACACACCAAGGTACAGTCAAGATATTTCAAAGCCCTATCAACATCACAAGATATTTCTTCACTTTAAAATTGTACAACATATCAAGTAATATGTGTACCACAATAAATGCAATATCTACGGTGTTTGCATAATAGCCTTGCCAATAATCAAACATCTTCCATTTATTCTACTGTGATCATGTTTTTAGCATCTTAAAGGGTTGTCAAGCCACCAGATCATACACAGGGATTCTCTGATCTAAGATGAACTATGTAACTAATTCATATTCAAAGCATTTCACATTAAAATTAGTCCGAGATACCAATAGATCCCTTCTTTTTGATATTCATAAAACATTTTTTACTTGTGTTACCACTGCGACCATTGAACATTACATAATTCCTAGGAAAACTGTGTTTAGCGAACTCGTGACGCAGCAATGCATGATGGTATGCATTATTGTAGTGAAGACAATAAACAACTTTTAATTTCTGCGTTCGATAACTAGCAAACTTTCTGATTTAATTTTGGCAAAGTTACTTAAAATTGAAACAGCTGATTGTCATTGTGCAGCAAGCATTCTAATCTTGTGTAAACAATGTCTTTTACATGCATTCTACGAGTCACATAGGACCGATATCAAAAATGGGTTCAATTTCATAATTTCAATTCTGAGTCAGTTTGCTGCATATTTTTTACGCGCAACTTTGATAGTTTTTCTTCAATACTATTGCCCTTTAGACACGTCTTGTAATCTATATATGAATACCAGGATATCGCAAGCTCATATTTTATTCTGCCTACATGCATCTATTTTAATTCAGGGTATTGGTCGAAAGATTCTGGTACAACAAGGGTGGAAGGACGGTGAAGGCCTGGGCGCTAGTGTCAGTGGTATAACGGCAGCATTGGAGAATGATGGACAACACCCTCGTGAAAGGAAAGGACTAGGGTAAGAAGTTGCAAATTTTGAAATAATTCCTACCGGTAACTCATAAAACCAAGAAAGTGCAGTACTCAAATGAGATTGCGACTGCTATTTTCAATAAAAATCTGTTTTTATACTTCACAATAATTTCTTATTTTATTTGGTAGTTACTATGGCGAGAAAATCAATAGAAATGTCAAGAAAACAAAGAAACGACGAGCCGAGGATGGGATTATTACGACCATCTATGATAATCCTTTAGAAACCGACCAACCAGATACGCTGCTTAGATCACAGCATCCATGGACGCTTAAATACCGACCAGATGTCAAGTTCTGCAAAGGTCATGATGATGACTCTAGTTGATGCCCTATTTTAATTCTTTTTTGAAAAGTGAACTTCAAACCATATTAACAAGACCCCAGATTTGTGAGATCTGTCTGAACAGAAGTTCCAGAAAAGCAGGAGTCAATTTAGAAGTACCATTGTCAATGTAGACATCCCCAACTACATCTGCATGTAAATAGTGTTCACAAGGATTAAAACGCAACTTAAAAAAAAAATGTGCTGCTAAGTGGTCTGTAAAAGTCATGAAGAGGCAAACGTATTTCACTTGTATGATAAAATCAATGAGGCCTTGTTAGATTTTAATCAGACTGGGCATGCGTGTATGTATTGTTTGGAGCTTAAGTAATTCAACAATTTGAGAAGGGGCAGAAATCAAACTGGATTGTCAGTGAATTAACCTCTCTGAAATGGTCATTGCAATGTTTTGTTATCATTCGTCACAAATGATGTACTGTAAAATACTTTTATTTTTGCTTGGAATTAATTTTTCGCTGAAGGAATGATTCAGTGAATATAAAATCAAGCTATATTTTACATTCAACTCATAAATAAATTCCATAAAAAAAACACCCAAAGTCTTTTCAGCAAAAATTAATTCCAGCTAAAATAAAGTATTTTACAGTATACACCACATTGCTTACAGTAAATTCTAAAGCACAAAGACTGATGCTTTAAAGATACAATCATGTACATAGGGGACTAATATGATTAGCGTACCATTCAGGTCCATAGAACATTGAAAGCTTTATTTCAAAGATATCACAAATATTTAACAATTGTGCAAAATATGTACAAAACAAATCTTTTATAACTTATATAAAAAAAACTTAAATATTAAACAATGCATAATTTTTTGTAAATGTACAAAACTTTGTTAAAAATAAATATGTTGACACATAAAAAATGTATTCTCATTCATTAGCTTTATGATAAAAGATGTAATTCTTTGGTATTGTCCTACTTTCTCTGGCTAATGTTAGAACAAGTGCACCAACTTGTAGGTCATCTATGAATCCTGATCTAATCAGCCAAGCTGCTTAAACTTGACCTATTTGTTCATTTCACTAATTTTAACATGATTGGTAAAGTTGTTATAATATAAATGTTCTGTGTTGATCAAATTTGGGAAAAAATGAGCAGTTTGTAGATATTCAGCCCTTTGAATGCCAGGGTTTTTCCCAAAAAATTTTATGCAACATTTTTAGATGTTTTTTTGTTAATTTTGAACCAAATGAACATAATTTTCTTTTTGTTAAAATTCTTGATTATAATTTTTGAAAGGTGACAAAAGCCAACTTTGGGATTCAAAGGGTTAAAAGAGCTTATTTCACAGACTGTACTAATACTGGTTGGAGGCTAGAAACCAATGGATGGAAAGTACAAGTGGCTTGATCTAGACTATAAAACCAATTTCATATAGACACTAACTGAATGTCATCTCTTTACAATTCTGTAAACAGAATCTTGAATACTAAAATAAATTGTTGCAAAATATAAAATGCCGGCGCTGGTCCATAAAAAATACAAAGATGCACCCTTACTAGGTTTATGAATTTAAAAAGTCCTGACTCAATCAGCACAAGGAAGTAATTTTGATATGATCATTTAAAAATCTCCACAGAAACACGAGAACAGGAAAATTGGTACACCGGGTTATTGACATACATGGTACATAGTAATGTTTGATAAAAATCTATGGTGTACTGGGGTAAATATCGACACTACACTGAATGCTAAGAAGATAACCTCAAACTGTTTCATTTGCACTGATACAAATTTTCTGATTTGATGACATTCGTGAAGACAGCATTTCACATAAATCTCCGCGACTCACACTTTTAACCCTTATCTGGTCAAGCCAATGTAAAAGTACATAGGGCTGGCAGGGTTAAACGTCTACAATGTCACTGCTTTCCTAGACTCAGGAGCACGAGATCTCTCCCGAAATTCAAGCGGGTTTGTTTACAGGATACTGATAGCGGAGAACTAGATGTGTATTGGCACTGACTTTAGGATTGAGAGATCACCGAAAAACCAAAAGACAAATCCAGAAAACATGCAACAGAGTAAATAGGAACTATTTCCTGCTCACAGCACTCGGCTTGGCCTTTTTTCTACAGTGCTTGTAACATCAGATGACAGTAGCTACTGTGTAGTGCTGACAGTTTGTGGTTGCATACACACAAGACCTTGGTGGCCAAAATTGTAGCACTCTGAATGTGAGGGGTGCTTACATCAAAAGTTGCTAATAGATACTACAAAGTACAAAGGAATGAAACACAACATGCAGCAAAGACAGTGACTTGTGTACAAGCCACACACAACTGTACCACATGTAAGGGATAGAATCAAGGTATTTATCCAGTTTGTTGAAACTAAAATCTGATAATTCACAAAACAAATTCAGTGTATAAAATGAAAATCCTTATGTTAATATTGTAACAAGTTTTTGAGGGCAAACAATCTAAAATAAAGTAACTATTATAAGAGATTAACATCAACGAATTAGGAATGCTGTTGCTTTTCTTGTATGGTAATGTAATATTGACCATGACACGTAACAAGGCTGCCCATTGCATTTCATAGCAAACAAAGCTTAACATCAACGAATTAGGAATGCTGTGCTTTTCTTATTTGGTAAAGTAGTAACTACCACATCATGTACTACGGCTGCCCATTGGATTTAACAACTAACAAGTTTTAAAATCAGCCAATTAGGAAAGCTGTTCTCACGGAGGTTAGGACAATGTTGATATATAATACACCTGTCCATTGGAACAATAAGGTGGCGAGAATAGTCACAGAAGATACAGCTAAATTTCAAAGCAGTATTTTTATGTTCTGTGTTTATAGTTGGTTGTTTCCAATCATCCTATAATAGACAGGTGTCTATATATTGTTCAATAGACTAGTTTTGAGTTCAGTGGTTGCAAGTTACGTAGTATATGCCTGCGACTGTAAGGGGCAGAGAGGTTATTATAACCAACTGTTGATGAGATTGTATGCCCAAGTTTTTCACTAGATGAATGGCTAGCAGATCTGAATTGTGTCCAACTTCCAATTGTTGAGTGTGAATGACAAACTTATTTTCCATATTTTACAAACATTTTGTAAACTTTCAATAGTAACTTGGAAGCTGACAATACATAATCACTGTATTTCGTCTGAAACTGAAGCTGGTATAGTAAAAGATGTGCCTATTAACTGCATATTCCTGCTGACTGCATGGAAGGGAATCAGCAGTGATTGCCACCTCCCTCGCAACCTTTGCTCATAAGATAGCTACACAACCAAAGAACCCCAAACTCCACTATTGTAATCACCCAGAAAACCAGTACATCTAAAATAATTTATCTGAAATGAACCAAAGCAGATATAAAGTTGCCATCTACTCGGACGGAGCTGACGTGTCATGCTTGAGATTGGCACCCATCTTGTTCAACCCCTGTGTTACGTTATGGATCACTGTAGCTGCTTGTTTAATAGACATCGCCTTGACATTTTCACCATCTTCCTCCCCCTCTAGTTTACCATCTTGTGCCAATAAAGTACCAAACTTTTCAGTTATCTTACGACATTCTTCCTCTCGTGCATGGATTCTTTCCAGTCTCGCCTTTTCTTGTTCCTGGTGAGAAATTTAATTATTATTGTCACTGATTTATATCATATACCCCCGTATGTCTAAAGAAATTATGTAACAATTTTTTCAATTATCATATTGTGGGAGATTTATATATATTGTGAATTACACCTAGCAACAAATTTTATGTGACTCCCAGCATCAGAACTATGGTAAGCAATGAATTGTGGGTGATTTATGCAAATTTCACCTAGTAACAAATTCTGCATGATTTTCTGTATCAAAACCATCGTGAGCAATGCATAATGGGAGATTTATACAAGTTTCACCAAGCAACATATTCTCTGTAAATCCAGGCATAGCCAAGGTGAGCAATGTATTGTGGGAGATTTATGCAAATTACACTAGCTACAAATCCTGTGCGATTCCCTGCACTACAACCATGGTGAGGAAATTTAATATGGGAGATATATGCAAATTACACTTATCAACAAATCCTACAGGATTCCCTGATTTTTTGTTACATTGTATGTGCCCTAAATTAACCTGACTTGATTATTGTTTCAGCAATATTACCAAATATGCAATCATACTAATACGTCTGCCACAAAAAAATCAAATGATTTGATTTCCTTCATTTTATAGTTTAATGTCAAAATCCAGATTTCATCAAAACTGACCATCATCAAATGTGTATACTGTAAAATGACTAATTTTCACTGGGTTTAAATTTCACTGATTTACCATTTCAGGCATATTCAGTGGGTTTTAAATTCACGGTTTCGTCATTTAGATAATGTGTTCTATGCTAAATTTTATATATTCACTGTGTTTTAATTTAGCGCATTTTTCCAGTCAGCGAAATAAGCTAAATTATAACACAGTGAATAATTACCCTCTTTACAGTAGCACATACATTATTAAGCATGGAAATAGCCCATAATACTTTCGCATTTGTTGAATCTCACAGGATGTCACGATGCTACATGTATGTCCTTTTGATTTCATGCATAATGCAGGATCTTGCAGTGAACAGAAAATAGGGTCCATTGAATTACTAAATTTACACACATTTTAAATTAAAAATTTTTTGTATACGAGCCCTATATACATGTATATATTATATGGAGTCAATGAATTACATTTTGTACCTCAAGATTGCTACTCGGTACTGTAAATACCAAAAAACCCAGACAAATGATCTAATATTGTTTGAGAACTTTGACAAATGGCTAAAAAAATTTTAAGTTAAAACTATTAATGTACCTTTCTCCTCTCCTCTGCTTTCTTCAGCTTTTCATCCAATTCTTCAGGACTCACTGGCGTTTTGTTTTCTTTCTCCATCATTAGTTGGGATAAGCGTTTAGGCACATTTGATTTGGAACGATTCTCTTCCTCTATGTCAAAGGTCAAATCAAATGACATGCCACTTGGCGATTTAAGAGGTTCTGTAATGATTGGTTCTGCCATGATGACACAAGGATAAACGAGCTAGAAACTGAAGAAAAAAAACCACAAATTATTTTTTTTTATTGCTGGACTTTGAATTTTCATATATTGATTTTCAACAATCCAAAAGAAATTTAAATGTTTTATTGGGTTATATAAATATAATAAATGTCGTCACGATTACACTGTTGGAGCAAGTTATGAGTGGAGGTTACATAATATTAAGTGACGAGAGGAAGGTACAGTACAATATACTTCAAATCAAGCTAATTTTTATTATTTTTCATCCAATATTAAACTAAATATCTAGTCTGTAAAACCTAATGATATTAGGCAGTCTGAGCAGACTGTACTCTAATTACAAGCAAGTGTGCCTCCGGATAACATGTAGCTACTTGATTCATAGCAAACACTCTAAAATAACCACAGTGTACCATTTCTCAGACTGAAAACCCTAAGGGACATGACTATGCAGACAGCAATTCTACTTTAAATTATGCCCAATACAGTCTCATAAAAACAATAAGATTTTTTTCATTTTTGGTACGCTTTACAGATTATAAAAATATTCTATTATAATTTATTAGCAAAAATAAAACCTGGGGGATACATGTGTGTTTATATTATACAGTCAATGTATAGACTCTATGAGGAAAAAGTAAAGCATGACCTTTTCGAAAAACATTGCCATTTTTGTCAAATATGCGTGAAAATGAAGAAAATCAAACCCCCCCCCAACATTTTCCTTTGTGCCTCAACCCATTAATACAGTTGAATACAATTTCAATTTTCACTCACTCACAAAATTTTTCTCTTGCAAAATTAAAACAATGGAAGTCTAATTTACAGATACAGAAAGCAAAGAACAGTGGTACATGTAACTGTTAACTGGGATCATAAACAACACAGTATTAGCATAAATCTAACAAAATCTCAGGACACATGGGTGATATACTAAAAAATAGAAAATTAGATATTCAAATTTTTCTTTTCTACAGATATGGATTATGATTTCTATCAGGAGATGATGACAGGCTTCTTTTTGGTGATATCATTTATGTATGAACTGAACTCCCTCCCTCTATAAACTTAACATTATGGTCTGTCTGGCATAAACGTAGATGAATAACGTTGACGTGAGCCATGATTGGAATACATAACTATTATTTGATGTACTATGATGGTGACTACTCAGTAAATGCCTGCAAGCAGAGAAGCAACCATAGAAATACATGTATTGATTTAAGAAGGTTCTCACCCATTCAAATATTACATCTCCTGAGAACGTTTACTGAATATTGTACCGTTTATAATTATGTTTAACATAGAAACAGCTAATAGAGCAAATAGGATTTGGCAATTGTATTAATAAGAGAGTACAATTTGTATTTACTATACCGAGGGTAATAGAGAATATATTGAGTTTGAGCTCACAAATGATATACCAGCAACAATATCAAAATTGATGATACAATATGCTTAAAGATGGATCAGGCCACTGTCGTAAAAAACACAAAAAAAATATGATTAAGGACGAATCAGGCCAGCCACCGCCATAAAAAATTAGTCAAGCAGCCTCTCGGCCAAGATAGCTCTGCTGTTGGCAATACACATTTCAATTAAAGAATTAAAAATATCATCACAAAATGAGCAAAGGTCCACCTGTAATAGCTTTATGTATAATATCAAATCAATCAGACGTGCGGTTTCTAAAAGAAGTCAAAAATATCACTTTCTACCAAAAAATGACAAAAATATTCACCAAAATTAGAGAATTCAAGATATGATCATGAAATGAACAAATCTAGGTGAGGTCTACCCAAGGTACATATAAACCATGTATCAAAGCAATTAGGTTTGTAGTTTTCAAGATGAAGTCAAAAAAGGTGCACGGACATGGAAGACGACGAACAATGAACATTTTACACAAGAATTGCAACTTGCCTCTCAAAACCACATTTTCTGTATTACCGGTATTTCAGTGGCATGTATTGAAACAGAAAAAAAAATTACATTTCAATAAAATTTGGTTGGAACCACCTTAAAAGGGTCAAGGTCTATATACATAATAATTATGGTTGTGATTAAATATCAGACGTGTATAATGTTTGTTTTCCAATAATTTTTTTTTAACAGAAAGAAAATCCTAGCTGACTTACCCAGTCTGAGCCATATTATGATTACACTAACTTTTTATAATTGTACATGTACGCTATATACTCAGTCCAGGGCTCTATCTTGGCTTCAATGTGTTTGAAGTGGGAAATGAATGTTTGTATTGTAAAATTATCATTCATTTTTTCTGAACCTATGCTTTTTCACTAATTATTTCTTTTTTTCTAATCCATTGTAATACAGAACCCAAATTACAATTGTGGCACCAAATCAGTACACACACATGGTAATGTCATGTAGCTCAACATAGATTATCATAATATGCAAATTATTGGAAAATGATTTTTTCGTCACAATTTGCATATGCATAACAAATATCCTTTTTGATTGCTCATTTGGAATCACAGCAGTCATTTTGGCGCAGTATTGATTGGATTGAAAAAAAAATATGAAAAATTTGTTTAAGAAACAAAAGGTTAATCATTAATAAAACGTGTACTACACGCTGTAGATTAATAAGGTTTATGCAGGAAAAAAAATGAGCAAGGTAATAATTTAAATAATCATATCAATCATGGCTTGACTTAATTAAGACCATAGCTAGTCAAACAAAATGTCTAATTATATTAAAGACATGGATTCTGTGAAATTGACACAGGATATTAAAATCACAGTCCTTGGAAACCAAATGGACATCACTGATGAAGATGAATGAGCTTGCAATATCTAATTTGCTGGCTATGAACATGAAGAATATGCACAATTGAAAGCATACGAACTATAACGATGAAGTCGAAACTACAAAGGAGCTAGGATAATTTATGATAATAGCTTCGACTGATTCAGAATAAATACGTCATTTTCCTGCGCCATGATGTCGTAGTACTCCCATCATGCAAACTCAAGGCCAAGTCTACACACGCCCATCAATAATGCTTGAATAGAGATAGATAATTTGTATGTGAAAAGAAAATGAATAAATGAAAACGCGATTTTTTTAATGAAAAAAAATCATAATTTTACACGTATAGTTGTTAAAATTTTGGAAAACGTGTATTTCAACCACAGACGTTAGAATTCTATGTACAGTATTATATGAACATGTAAAGGTCAAATGCGGAAATCACAATTTACCGAAACCTACGGAGTAAAAATGCAATTTTGCGACATTAAAAGAAAATTTTAAGCAATGAAATGCTCACGCCTTGATCTTTGAAACAAAATATACAGTAATGATTCAGAATCCATCTCATGTAACGATGCAGACATGCAGATAATATTGAAAGGTAGATTTGTTTAGTGTGAAGGTCTGTCTGAATTCGGAGACAGGGAACCCAAACGAGAATCACAGACATATACAAAATATTTTTTTCTCGATAATCTCAAGATTAAACCAAAATAAAAGTATTACAATCATACCTTGATATCAGGAAATTCTAATACCGGGCAAATGGAGTAAAATGACACTCGGTGACTGTCTGCTTGACTAAGATAATCTGACGAACATAAATCACCGTGCGAGACAGGAAGCGAGACGTGCCCTGTGTTTTGAATTTTGTCGGCCACTGATTGGCTGATAAAATTTCCGCACTACGAACTTCGACCTTTGGCACGAAAATGGCTTCGCAAGATTGCGTTTCGTGTACGGCAGCCGGTACCGGCACACGTCCTGACAAAAATAACAAGATATGTGACAACGAAGTCGATATATACAGAGATACTGTCGTCCGATACTTAGGTGAGAACTATCTAAAACGAAGTTTTATTCAGGGTTGTTCCATGATTCACTCCAAACAAATCATCGCGATCGTACTCAAATCTATACGAACTATTAAATGATAAAACTCGATTATGTTAACGTTAACAACTTGCGTAATCGCAGTAAAAATAAAATGCAAGGAACCTACGATGCTATTTTGCAGAGGAACAATTTTTACAAAACTGTTTTAAAATGTTGATAGTGCTGTATTACAGACTGCACAAAATGAGTTTTCCCTACGGGAGGGAAGGGGATGCGGCTAGAATAGTTTTCATGGCGTTGGAGAGTTCTTAAAATTCTTGTTTTAGTTCAAAGCTTATAGAATTGTCGCTGGTTTTGCTCACTACAAAACTCCATTTGCTCAGCAATATAGAATGGAACCGGAAGGGACAACATAAATATATCGTTAGTGGTTTTTTCAAATTATTCAGGCTGCATACATTTTCATAAATCTTTATTATCAGGTTATGCAAATGAAGTTGGTGAATCTTTTCGTGCCTTAGTTCCTGTATCGCTCGTACGTTTCAGTTATCTTGTTGCTAGTGGTTACGTTGTAGCAGATTCTGTTGACAAAGGCTTGAAAGCTAGCAGGGTAAGATATGATATGAGTTACGTACATAAGCATCAATTTATTATGAAATGAAAAAGTTTATTTTTGTAAACGTAAAAAAAAGGACATGCTAGTCTGTCTATATGCTTCTCAATTGTTACTTATAGCATCGTAAACTGGTAAGCTCTGTTGAGATGGTTCAAATCTGTTTGACCTTATACATGGTGTAATGATTAGGGTGTTCTCCCAGCATCAGTGAAATTGTGAGTTCAACTCAGCAGTGAAAAAATAAAGAGACTTGACATGCCATTCTCGCAACATTGGTAAAATGGTTGGTAAAATTGGGTCTCGTGCTGTTTGTGTTCACAATAATCTCAATATCTTTTGGCAATGAGTAACAGATTACTTAAGAGGCTATCGTCTAAATTTTTGACAAAAATGTTTAAAGCACACAAAATTTTGTTCACATCAAAGAATTTGGCTAATTACGCTGATTGTTAAATTTATTTTTTCCTTTCTGTTAATTTTTGTCATGTTATTCAGTGTATGAACAAAATAAAACTGTTCTTTGAAAGATAGTGAAAGATAATTCAATACTGTTGCATCCTGGTCATGACTTGCGTGATTGAGAAAATAACCCCAATTCAATAATCTATTCTGCAGATACAATGGAAAAATAACACAACTAAAAAGAAGAAAATTGTGCATGCTGTTGGAGACAGTTTAGTATGGCAAGGGTTGGCATCAGTTGCAATCCCTGGCTTTACTATTAATAGAATATGTGCCTTGTCACTCTTTATTCTAAGAAAAACAACATCGCTGCCAGTCGGTGTTCGAAAATGGACAACAACAGCAATCGGATTATCAGCTATACCTTTCATCATTAAGCCGATTGACAGGTAAATTTATGTTTTACCTTCAGTTCGTAGATTTTTCTTCGAACTGAGACTTGTAGGTAAATTTTGATAACCTGTAAATAATTCATAGAAAATGTTTGCATGATTTTTTTATTAATTTTACTCTATGTTGTTGTCATTTTCAGGTCTGTGGATTATATGATGGACAGTACTTTAAGGAAAATCTACAGAATTGAAGAAGATGAGCAAGTATTTGTACATCATGAAAGATAGTGTACACACTCTTGCTTCTTAAAAACATTTTACTATACGGGTTAAGGACAGCAAACAGTACTATGCATTGCAGTGTGATGACGTTGCATTCACACTTTGCAAATCTGTGAGTGAGGTATCATCCCTTGACCAATATCTACACCTTATAATTTTGAGATTTTGGATGGGTAATAAGAAATTAACTGCAGGATATGAATTTAAATTACCCTTGTAAGTTTGATTTGTAAACAATAGACACTGAGTTAGGAGGCTTTGTTTGTCTTTGAAAGTTAGTTGCATTGCAGGTATGTTTGTCTAAGGGATGAGGCCCTCCAGTACTCTCAAAATGAATTGTGTGCATAAATCAGGAATGGATATCTAATTTGCATACTGTGGAATACCTTATTTTCACTGGAATTAATTTTCGCTGAAATGGCTTTTTGGGTGTTTTGTGTGGAATTTATTTTCACTGATTTTTGATGAGTTTAATGTGAAATATAGAAAAAAAAGTATATTCGCTGGATTTTATTTCATCCCTTCAGCAAAAATAGTGAGAATAAATTCCAAGCGAAAATAAAGTATTCGACAGTAATTCACATTTTTAGCAAAAACAGCCAGTTTTTAATAATTGCTTTTTTATTATTTATATTTGCAAAATGTGAACACAACTTCTAACACTATAGATACCAAAATGGCAATAATTTCAAACTTTTTAGTATTATACACATTTGTTAGGACGAAGACATCAGCATTTTTTCTGTGATTCATCAACTATTTGTCATCTGCCTTAAATCCAGTTTTGACAGTAAATTGTTCCATCTACACATTTTATAAATACAAATATCAGTGCAGCTAATACTGAAAATTGAGACTGCCAATGAACTTTTTGCATGTAGTGGTCAGTCATAGGTCAGCAGTTAAGCAGTTTTGGTTTAGGGTTAGATATTTACATTACTTTACTGTACATTATTAAGTGTTCCATGTTAGGTTCCATTACAGCTCAGAAAAGAATCTATACAATATATATTGCATTTTTGGATTGAATCTATTCACAAGATAAATAAAATAAATATATTGCTGGAAAGTAACTGTTGATATTGTATTGATGAGAATTACCTGAATGTCCTGATTGGTACCTGTGTATTGGTGACAATTACTTCATCAGTACTTGTTTCATGCTGAGAATTACCTGATTGGTACTTGTGCATTGGTGAGAATTACCTGATTGGTACTTGTGTATTGGTGAGAATTACTTGATTTATACTTGTGTATTGATGAGAAGTACTTGATTGGTACTTGTGTATTGGTGAGAATTACCTGATTGGTACTTGTGTATTGATGAGAATTACTTGATTGGTACTTGTGTATTGGTGAGAATTACCTGATCAGTAATTGTGTATTGATGAGAAGTACTTGATTGGTACTTGTGTATTGGTGAGAATTACCTGATTGGTACTTGTGTATTGGTGAGAATTACCTGATTGGTACTTGTGTATTGATGAGATGTACTTGATTGGTACTTGTGTATTGGTGAGAATTACCTGATTGGTACTTGTGTATTGGTGAGAATTACCTGATTTATACTTGTGTATTGATGAGAGTTACCTGATTGGTACTTGTGTATTGGTGAGAATTACCTGATTTATACTTGTGTATTGATGAGAGTTACCTGATTGGTACTTGAGTATTGGTGAGAATTACCTGATCAGTAATTGTGTATTGGTGCGAATTACCTGATTGGTACTTGTGTATTGGTGAGAATTACACGATTGTTACTTGTGTATTGGTGTAAATTGCGTGATTGGTACTTGTGTATTGATGACAATTACCAGGGTGGTACTTGTCTATTGATGACAATTACCTGATTGGTACCTGTGCATTGGTGAGAATTACCCGATTGGTACTTGTGCATTGGTGAGAATTACCTGATTGGCACCTGTGCATTCATGAGAATTGCCTGATTGGTACCTGTGCATTGGTGAGAATTACCTGATTGGTACCTGTGCATTGGTGAGAATTACCTGATTGGTACGTGTGTATTGGTGAGAATTACCTGATTGGCACCTGTGCATTCATGAGAATTGCCTGATTGGTACCTGTGCATTGGTGAGAATTACCTGATTGGTACCTGTGCATTCATGAGAATTGCCTGATTGGTACCTGTGCATTGGTGAGAATTACCTGATTGGTACATGTGTATTGGTGAGAATTACCTGATTGGTACCTGTGTATTGGTGAGAATTAATTGATTGGTACTTGTGTATTGGTGAGAATTAATTGATTGGTACTTGTGCATTGGTGAGAATTACCTGATTGGTACTTGTGCATTGGTGAGAATTGCCTGATTGGTACTTGTGTATTGATGACAATTACCATATTGGTACTTGTGTATTGATGACAATTACCTGATTGGTACTTTTGTATTGATGACAATTACCTGATTGGCACCTGTGCATTGGTGAGAATTACCTAATTGGCACCTGTGCATTGGTGAGAATTACCTGATTGGTACCTGTGCATTGGTGAGAATTACCTGATTAGCACTTGTGTATTGGTGAGAATTACCTGATTGGTACTTGTGTATTAATGACAATTACCTGATTGGTATTTGTGTATTAATGACAATTACCTGATTGGTTCTTGTGCATTGGTGAGAATTACCTGATTGGTACTTGTGCATTGGTGAGAATTGCCTGATT